AGTAAAAACTCATGCTATTTCATATGCTGCAAATATCTGAGCTCATGGGTAATGAGAATGCAGTGTAAAAAACAAAGCAAAGAAGGAAAAGCCTACAGAAGAACCAATTTATTTGAAAAAATGTTTTAAAGTTCATTCTTAAAAAAGGAACAAATGTTATAAACAAAGTTTAAAACATGTCATAATTAAGAATAATTTAAATTTAGTATTTTCTTCTATGTGATTTCAAATTAGTTTAACTTTTGTAACATTTCTGAATTCTCAAAATAAAGGTGTAATGACATCTTAAAGAAATGAATATAAAACAATGCATTATCCTATAAATAAAATCTGATCTACCACTGTTGACATTATAGACAGTTCCATAGATAAAATATGGAATCTACTTCTATAATTAAGGCAGAGACAACACTTCTTTAATTAGAACATGGATGACACTGTAACACATTTCTAAATTTATTGCCTTTTTAAAATTAAAATTAAACATAAGGAAACCTATTTTTCCTCTCCTAATTAGATACCATATTTTAAAATGAAAGTTAAGGAAACCATCTTTAATTACTTAGTAGAGCTGTGCAGCACTTCTGTTTCAGAAGGAAAACCCGCATATAAGAAACTTGATAAACCACGTTTCTTTCCATGGAATCATACTGCAAGTAAGGGTTCACCACACAATGCTATGGAAAGACTTGGGTGATTTATTAATTTGTTGACAGGTCCTGCAGGAGAATCCTCATGTGAAGCATCTTTTCTCCTTAAGGTCAGAATTTATTTTGAAATTGACAACTAAACAATGGCATTGCCGAATGTAGAAGGATATCTTTGATTGAGGAACATTATGCTTTTCTTAATGCATTTTAAACATCGTCTACTAATTTTAAAAACAGGAACTACTCCAGATTTCCTTACCCTCAAATTTAATTCCTGCATGTGCAAACCCTGGCATGTATACAGGATTCTTAAGATTAAAAAGTATGGAAGAATAAGTAAGTAAATAAGGTTCCTCTGTAGTACTAATTTCAACTCAACAATTTTTCCATTTGCTACTAAGACAAACCAGGTGTGCAAGTTCCAAAAATATCATAGCTGTAAATTAACATAGGAAAAATCTCCAAGCAATGCCAGCTTTCACACTACTGCCAAGACAATTTTATTTGTATATTCACTAAATCACCAGAAATACAATCTTGATTTTAAAATACTACTTTCATTCACAAAACCACCCAGGACCGAGAGTCTTTAGAAATCAGAAATGTTAAGAAACTGTAGTAGGAAAGTAGCAACATCTGTGTACATACATCTCCCTCTTGTGGTTAAAATCAACTGCATAAACAATTTCCTCTTCTCCATCTTTAACTATTTTCCATATCGTACCTCCTATCATGTGACCTGCTGGTAATGGAGTGATGGACAAACCATGCCCTTTACCTAAAGAAAAAACATAATTTTATACACACCTCAATTACATGATAATGCAACCCTCCCACATCTTTGTTTCAATTCTTCATACTAATACAACGTATTAAAGTATTATTTTTCACCTTTCAAATTGACAATCTGAGAAAATTTTAGTTGTTGTATTTTATCAAAAGCTGCATCCACATCATCCAAAGTAAACAAGGTGAAGTCTTCGGTATTATGGCGGGACTAGTCAAAAGGAAAGGAAAAATATTCACAGTTAAAATTAGCCACATTGGGGGAAAGTTTAAAATCATCTCTCTCAAAAAACTGAGACATGAGCTTTACCTGGTAGAGGTCATACATGAACATCTGACCCATTTTGTATACAGGAATAGTTGCATAAATAGCACAGTTCAACCCCATTTTTCCCACTGCATATGGGAGAGCGCCCAAGTGCAAAGGATCAGGATGTGAAAGAAGTACGGCATCAACCTGGTGAACATGTCTATAAAACAAGAACGAGGAGGAGAAAACACTCCATTTCACTATTTAAAGAAACACCTATTTCAGTATAGCGTGTATCATTTAAGAACTGATACTTTTAATCTAAAATAAAATTTGGATCTAGAGTTCTATTTTTAAGGAGAAATTTCTAATGAAAAAAGCTCTTATTAAGAAAATGCTCCCTTCAATAGATGGGAAAATGCTCCTTTCAATAGAAAGAAGGTCTTATCTTAGTAATGTCCTGCTCTCCTAATATTCTTTAGAAAACAGTATCTTCAAACAAAAGGGAATATTAGCAAAATTGAACTAGCTGTCTATAACAGGATATTCAACTAGACTAAAAGCATTCATTAATTGAAGAAGTCAGACATCACAGAAAAACACTTAGAAATCAAGCTTTTGCTTCCATGTTTCACTTAAAAGGAAGAGTGGAAAAAACTTCTAGTAATAGTTCTAGTGATGACATTGTATTTGGAGAACAATGTTCAAAACACTATGTTTTAATAAATGTTGCTGATACTGTCATCCAAGACTAAAGATTATGCAAAGAAATGCAAAGTCTACATGTCACTGTATACATTCAAGAAACCAAAGCTAATGAAAATCTTACTCTGTAGATCTACTCTTATCAAATACAATTCTGCATGCAAAATCTCCACATTGGGAACTCTGATCAAATGGCATTGTTTCTGTATTTGAAAAATACAATAAATGGTTCCATCATCATAATACCTTTCTTGTCTTTATAAGAAAATAAATAAAATTCCAACCAAAAAAGTAGCAGACTATTCTTTGTAGTTTGATCCTGCAATTGTTGTCCCTGTCTTCATGAACATTTTAAATGTTATTGATTTAAGTAAAGCAATTAAAAGATCAATATAAAGTAGAAATGTTCTACCTATGCTTAGCAAGTCTATTTTCATATATAGTAAGGAAAAATTCTTGATACAAATAATTTTGTACCAGAACTTTAATAATTTAAACAAAAGTGCTTTATGTTATATAAATATGCTATAACAAAAAATCATTAACAGTACATTTTTCAAGGGTTCAGCACTTTAACTGAGTCAAATTCTACTTACTTCCTCAGGGAATCAATGATGTCCATAGAAAAATTCTCATCCCAGCCACAATCCAACAAAAAGCGAAACTCATCTACCTGAAGTAAATAGCAGAGAGCAGATTCTTCCTGAACCCCTGAGAGGGTTGTTAGCTTGATAATTGATGTCATTTTTTCTTCCCCAAATGTTCTCACCAAAAATAGTTACTATAAAGAAATAAATTTTGTTTTAAAATCCTTTTTATTAGTTTTCATATGCAGCTGTGAAAAATGAGAGATACTTAATACTATATTATTTCAGCATGTTTCATAGAATAAGGCCCATGGTCAACACAAGCAAATTGGGAATTTCCCCAAATCAATGAATCTATAATTTCAATATGTTTGGTTTAAATTGTGAGCTTAGAGATAAAATCAAATGCTTTCTTTCGCAGAACAATTGTATCAGTTTTCCTCAACATGACAAACAGGGTTACCAGAACAGCAGGGTGCGCGCGTGCACACACACACCTCTGAAAAAAAAGAATCCAGCATTTACTGACAGGTAACCTGTCAATTTACTGACAATAACCTGGTTTGTAACTATAAAGTATGATTCAACATACGAACAACCCTCAGATTTATCAGGGTCTGCTCTGCTCCTTTTTGATATAGCCCGAGAACTAGAAATTTTCAAGTTTTCAGAAATTTTTATGTTAAGTTTCAACATAACCCTACCTCAGGGGTTTCAAACTCATGTCATCACGGTATCATCATGTGACGTATCACTACTTTTCCCTTCGCTAAACTGGGTATGGGCATGGTCAGTGCGTGACGCATCTAGGCCTCGAGTTTGAGAGCCTGCTCCACCTATTACTGTATGTGTTCCTCTACTTATATAATTTTATTTTTACTTAATTCTGACATTTATGGTAGCTATCTCTATATGTATTTATTTATGGCTAACTGTTAACTTTATTATATATTTTTTAATCTCACCCTTATTTTTTTAAGTACAGTAACTCAAGGCAGCAAATATACATAGTACTCCTTCCTCCTATTCCCCCTTCTCCCAAAAACCATCCTGCAAAGTGGGTTGGTCTGAGTGTATGTGACTGGCCCAAAATCATCCATTATATTTTTGTACCAGAAAATAAAGTTCATCCAAAGCATGTAGGTGATACTTTGGAGCTATCTCTAATATTACAAAATCAAGTTGGCTTTCATCCATAACAGTGGCATTAGAGAAGTCAGCCAAAGATATGCAAAATAACCAACCAAGTTAAAAAGGAAATTGTATTGAAGCCATTCCATCTCAAGGAGTAAAAAAATAAAATAAACTCATTCATTGAAACCCGGGTGGCTCGAGCAAAATTACATTAAACTGAGGTTGTACACGAAGCAGAAACGACTCTTTACTCAGGACAGGTGCTCGTTTGACAGGTGCAGCCTTTTATTACAGAGACTCTTATTCCTCTTTGGAGCTGAGGCCTAAATCTTCGGGCTCTAAAGTGGGCTTCGCGGAATCCTGCCTATCAGCCCGAAATTCTCGGTGTCTTAAGTTGCAGGGATGTCTTTCGTTCTCAAGCTCGAGTCCAGCTGTTGTACCCGTCTCCTTAATTCTTCGTCTGAAGGAAAGCAGGCACTCATGAGCCGTGTTCACTGAGGACAGAGCCGCACTAGGGGAAAGCCAAATATCCCTTAAGCGGCTGCCCTCCGAGACACTTACTTCGTTCTTACCTGTTTATCACCCCTTGTTACCTCCGGGCACCCACATTTATTCGGGAAATGGAAAGGAGGAAAGAAAAACCCGCACGCGCCCACTCAACCATCCCCAGCCCTGCCTCTTGCTGCCGCCATTTTGGGGTAAGAAACCGGCAAGACCGCTGAAAGAGGAGGAGCCGCCGGGAGGAAAGAGAAATCTGGATTGTACCACCTACAGTTAAGAGGGGAGAAGAACCGTCTATGGTATCGTGATACATACATATATCATCCACCTGAATTGGATTTCTAACCATGCTTTAAAGGAAAAAAAAAAAAGAAATTGACTCCCAGGGGGACGTGTGAAATAAAATAGCTTTATCCGCCCTTCCTTTTCCGCTCGTCTTAATGGTTCCTCCCGGATACCTAGCTTCCCGAAGCCTCATCGGTAAACGGAGAGGTCGTTTTGGGTTTAGTTGACCCTGGGTGAGGCCTAGATCCTCTGGACCGGTAAGATTAGCGTTGTGGTGAATGGAGAGGGAGAGAGTCAGAGAGGGATTGATAAGGGTGCGTCTGATGTCTTCAGAAGACAGGAGGCCACTTTGGTTTGCCAATAGTGGATGTGTCATGCATGAAGCTGTACATACTGTGCAAGATCTGTGCAAAAATTTTCAACCACTAATTCAGACTCGATGCACATGTAGCTTAGTATCAGGAAGGATGGGCGTCTATGTCCAAATAAGGGGTATTCCTGGGTTAGTTGCTCAGGGCGTACAATCATATTCTGGGCAAAATACGTTGGGGAAGGGGGACTTCTTCCTAGTATAAGCTTTTCCCATTGAGAAAGGAGTTAGACATCTTGCTTGCATCTGGAGCAGGCTGGGAGTTAAATACTCATTTCAGAATGCTACAGCTCTGCAATAGAAAAGGAATTCCCATAATAAATCAGATATATTGGCCTGTCCTGGCCAGCGTCTCACTTTCAAGCAAAGCATTGGGCTGCAGCCATCCTTAAAAAAAACTTTCTAAGAATACACGTGGAGCCTGTAGATTCTTAGAAATAAAGCTGATTGATTTATATCTCACCCCCCTCCCACACAGACGACATGCAGATAAACATAAACAATACAAAACACTGGGTAAAACACTGGATAAAACTGATGGAAAATGGCCTTTTGGCTTTGTAGCTGCCAGATTTTTTAAAGTTTTTTTTTTAATTGGATGAGGCAAGTAGTTAAGTTGTTAATGTTTGCAGCTCTATTTGAAGGGCAGGTTGGTGATTCTTTTTAATGACACTTCAAAGTGTTATTAGCAATTGTTTTGGGCTTTTCATTAACGTATATTATACTATACTAAATGACAGTAAATTTACAAAATGGAATATAGTAAATAACATCAAAATACATATTTTGTCATCCTATTTGAAATTACAAAGTTTTAGGATTTGTGTACAGGATCTTCACATTTCAATTACATTAATTTTTTATCAAGTGCAATTCCTTTGACTTGTTCCACTATTATAAGAAAGTATCTATTGGACAAGCCTGGAATATGATGGATAACATTTGATACAAACTTGACTCCTTGTGTATTTGTATCATATGTAAGGGGAAAACTTGCATTATGACATCCCCATTCACGTTTCATTTTACACATGCCAGCATTTGTGGATTCTTCTATACCACCATCTATGCTACAGGCAAAATTTAAGTTACAATAAAATATTTTCCACATAACATGTTATGTTTTCTCCATAAGTCACATCAATCCAATAGGACTTACTTCACAATAACAGTGAACTTACGGGCAAATAGGTCTCATCTTTTATTATAAGCAATGATGCTCATGTGGAAATATGCCATTACTTGTAATCTTTCTTTGTCCTTTTTTTTCACAGTAACTACCATGAATATTATCCACTTGGTGCGAGATCACTGGCCTATGGCATTGTGTCCCCTAGGATTCTTGGTGGGATGGTACTTTGACAAGCAACATGATGAGAAACTGGCAATATTCAGAAACAAGAGCAAATTATATCAAAGGTTAATTATTTTAATTGATTTCTTACAAGCATTTTATTCTTCCGGATGATGAAATTGCTTCTAAAAAATATACTTAAGGAAAATATTGGCAGATATAGCTGTTACTGAATTTTTATTGATGTGTATAAAAGATCACAATTATTAAATTCTTCCTTTAAAGAATTTATATTGTAATATGCGATGTGTAGTATTGCTCCAAATATGGTTTGAAGCTCTACAAAGTACCAAATATGGTTACCGCGTTCCTAGACATACTTGACTGTTTATCTTTACTGATTTATACCAAGGCAGATGAAAATGTTCATAATAGAAACAGTGGTTACATGCATAATATATAATTAAAATAATATAAAGTAGTCCTCAGTTAAAATACATGTAGACCAGGGGTGGGCAAACTTTTTGGCTCGGGGGCCTCATTGACTTTTAAAATTTGACAGACGGGCCGCTACCTGGTGTCGAAATGCCTGTCATTACAAGTCAAAATCAAATGAATGCAGTTATTCAATCATTCACATCAAACCTTAATTCTGTACCAATCTTCGGCGGGCCGGATTAAAAAGACCAACGGGCCGGATGTGGCCCTCGGGCCGTAGTTTGCCCACCCCTGATGTAGACAGATGATTTGTGGGGAACAATTATTTCCAATCTTTACAAAGAAGTTAGTTATCAATAGGTTGCAGTAGACACCCCTTCAGTTTGGAAGAGTGGTATTTCTGAGATGGATAACATAATGAAAATGAATCTCTATCACAGTTTTATTTCTTTTTTTTTTGGTAAATTTTATTTGAGTTTTCACAAAGAGAAAAAAAATACAAATAAAACATCTTTTTTGAAAGTATCCCGGGTTACATTTCTTCGTACAGACACAAATTCAGGTTCATGCTCATTTTTATATTCTATTCCATATCTTATTACTATTTTACATTTTCTGCATAGCTTCTCCCCTCTTTTAATTTTCTCAATTTTATTTTAATTATCTCATCTCAATTCAAATCATTGTATTTATATTTTTTGTCTTTCCTGTTTCAATTATCTATTATCTTTTCTCATTAAACAAAATTTCTCCTGTAGTTACTGATTGGAGTATGACGCCTTTATATCTTTTCCCTAAAGTTGTAACATTCAATATAATACATAACTTCCATTCGGATTCTGCTTGGTACATTCTTAAAATACACACTGTATTCTTAAAAAAAGAAAAAATTATAAATGTATATAATTAAAACAACATTCCATTCCAATTCAATTCTATCATTAATATTAATATTCATTAAAGTCTTAACAACTTTAACATTACTTTTCAATTAAATATCATAGTTCTATGGGAACAATTATAAGCTTTCCATAGTTAATCCCCCCCCCTTTCACTTATATTTTATAAAACATTAACTAATTATTCACTTATTTTATTCACAAACTTTTCACTAAATTACACTAACTGTTTTATCCCTCATTTTAATCATATGTTGTTTCCAATTTTCTAAAGTTATTTCTATTACTAATATAACAATACAATCTTATGTACCTTTACAGAATCCCTTTTTCAGTTAGATTTTCACCCATTATCTCTAAATAGGTCCTGTTTCTCTATATCTCTATCCTTTGTAACTTCTTTTCCTTTCCTTCTTCCCTCTCTTCTTCTCTCTCCCCTTTTTACCCCCTTGTCTTTCTACCTCTATTTCTCTCTTCTGTATTCCCCTTTTCTGTTGCTTTCCAGTATTATACTTATTTTTCGAATTATTTTTCTTTTCTTTGGTTGTTTTTTTAAGTCTTAAATTCTCCATTCTCTTTCCCCCCTTTTCTTTTTCTCCCCCACATAAAATTGCTTGTTCATTAAAGATAGCTTCTTCTTTGTCCCAGTCTTCTTGTTTTGCAGTCGTTTCTTGTTGTTTCTCATAGTTCCAAATCTCCATTTCTAAGAATTGAAAAATGAAGCCAAAAGAACCCTTCCCTTCTTGTGCATCTTCTTTGTACTTTTTAAGTTCCATTTTCAATTCATCCAGAAGTGATGCCATTGTATACATTTTTAAACAACCACCCGATTGATTTTAGTCATTCAAATATAATAACCAAGAATCCAAAGATCACCAAATAATCCAAATACACGCAAGCTGTTTCTTTTTTGCTCTTTTTCTTCCACTTTCTCTTCCTGGAGTTACTATTTAGTTGCAAAGTTTCGGTTAAAATGTATCTTTAAGAAGTCTTGTTGAAGTTTTACTGTAGATTCTTTTTAATTCCAGGCAGTCTCCTCCCTCTTCCAGATCCTGCCCTTATTTTTTTTCTCTCCCTTCCTGCTTATGAAAAAGAAAAATTTTAATGTCCAGAAATCTTTATTATCCCTTTGGCATTTTCTTTTATTTTTAGCTTAATTGCCTATTGATGTCAAAGCGGATTTTTCCGATTTCTTATTTAAGTCTCTTAGTTGTCAGTATAGGGAAGGAGAGAGAAGAAGAAAAAAGCCAAACCTTTCCCTTTTCACTTTCCTTTGCTGCTTCCGACTCTTCTTTGGGAGCAATGTTATTTTTTGTAAGTTTAAATTCCAGGGTACCTTAGTTGTTGCTTTTACAATTTAACCCAGTCAGCCAAAACTTTCACTTCTTATCTTCCTCCTGCACATTCTTTTCCAGTCGAGTTCTCCTTTGTGGTGGCCATTTCTGACCACTGCTGCAACTGCCTTCGGGAAAGGGAGTAATGGCCAGCTGAGGAGGAGAGATGCGGCTCTCCTCAACCCTGCTGGCGGTCTCCCCCCTCTTCACCACCTCTACGGGGTGGCTTAGCCCCGAAACCAGCCAGCTCGGGGCGCTCCAGCGGTGAGCCCAGACAGAAACTGCGCACGATCACGGATTTCTGTCTGTCGCCGAAGCCCTTCAAACCGGAAGTCTCAGTTTTATTTCTAAGCCTACAATAGTATTTACCTTCATCCTAAAAAGTTTAGAACCAAGTACAAGATTCTGAAAATGTCATATTCCTATACTGTATTTTTTCTTTGTTATATTTTGTTATTTTATGCTAGTTTAGCTCCAAAAATGCCTCTTCTCATTCCCTCATGGCTACCTTGGACTTTAGAAAACAACAAGTTTACCTCATTTTCTTCTTTTTTTTTCTTCTGTACTTGACTTTCCTTCCTTTCTTTTTCAATGTTACTATTTTTTGTTGAGTACCTATATTTCAGTAAGTACTGCGAATCTCTGTTTGCAGACTTCTTAGTTATTTCATCTCGATTATTGTACTAAAGCTTATTAGGATGTTCCCTTTGCCACTGCTTCCGTAACTTCCTTTGCTTGTATTATCTATTGACTTTAAGTTTATCTGTAAAGAAAGATTTGCCTGTTATTTTTCCCCAACTCTAGAATTTAAAATAAAGTATCATTGCCTCTTGCCCTATCTGCAACATTTTCTTAACAGTTTCAACTTTTATATCAGATTGTTTAGTGCTTTAAAAGTTTTTCCTACCCTTCAATCCTTGCTTAGCCTTGGAATATGTTTACAAAACATCCCTCAGTTAGTAAAAAATAATAGGTGACTTAACTTGCACTCCCTGTTACACAGTTGAGAGAATCAGCTGCCCCAAGATAGTTATAGTTTACTTTATTGTCATTGTACAATGAAATCAAGCACCATCTTCAGTGCACATCATGACCATGAAAATAAACACAAACACACATCCTTCACCCTCCACACATTGAACTGAAAACCCCCAACACTGCACCAACACTGCACTATACAGCAGAATTCAAAAGAGCTACTGCCCTGGGATAGAAGCTGTTTTTCAGGCTATTTGTGCTTGTTTTTATTATTCTGTATCGTCTGCCAGATAGTAATAGTTCAAAAAAGGGTGCCCAGGATGAGATGGATCTTTGAGAATGTTTTGAACTTTCTTAAGGCAGCGGGAGCATAAAGGTCTTCCAAAGAGGGGAGAGGGCAATGACGTTAACCCTCTGGAATGCTTTCCTATCTGCCACTGTGCAATTGACAAACCATACAGAGGTGCAGTGTTAAGATACTCTCTATGGTGCAGCGATAGAAGGTCACCAGCAGTTTTCATTCAGTTGTTGTTTTCTGAGAAGTCTCAGGTAGTATAAATCTCTGCTGGGCCCTTTTGACCAGTCCTGCAATGTGAGCACCCCAGTTCAGGTCCTCTTTTATGGTAACAACCAGAAACTTAAAACTGGCCACTTGCTCCACTGAGTCTCCATTGATAAGCAAGGGCTGGATGTTTGATCTGTTCCTTCTATAGTCCACTATAAGCTCCTTGGTCTTACTGGTGTTGAGGACCAAGTTATTGTCTCCACACCACGAAAGCAACTAGTCCACCTCATCTCAGTAGGCAGACTCATCCCTCCTGAAGATGAGTCCCCACCACTGTTGTATCATCTGCAAATTTAGTAATAGCATTACTAGCGTGAGTGGGAATGCAGTCATGCACATAGGGTATAGAGTAAGGGACTCAACACGCAGCCCTGTGGTGTACCAGTGTTAAGAGTAAGGGCTGAAGAGGTATGATTACTTAATCTGACCTTCTGTGAGCGGCCAGACAGGAAAACCATAATGCAGACAGATTGAATAAGAAAGTCCAAGGTCCAGAAGTTTAGACACTAGTCTACGTGGAAGAATTGTGTTAAATGCAGAACTAAAATCTACAATGAAATCTGCAGTAGCATCTTGGACAACATTGCAATTCATCTTTTGGGTGGCTATCTGAATGCTATTCCTATTGCTATATAATTTGGGGGGAAATGTGAGCCAGCTGAAATCAGAGCACTGTTCATTGAATGAAGGAAGACTTAGTTTTCCCTATCCATTTATATCCTCATTTTGTTCCACATATGTGCAGCTGTGGACCAAAGGGGGCAAAATCAGTTTTGCAGCTGGAAAATTCAAAACGATCACTATTAGGATGTATGCATCAATTTCTCTGGATGTATACAACACGGGGAACTCAGGCTAGAAACTGGGAGAATGTGCTCTAGTCCTGTCATGAAAAGTGGCTGGGTGACTTTGGGCCAATCACTCTCTCAGCTCAACCCACCTCAAAGGGTTGTTGTTGTGGAAAATAGGAGGAAGAGTGTGTGTTGTGTATGTTTACTGCCTTACAAAAAATAATAAAAGTGGGAATAAAAAAATAAATACCAAACGGGGGAAACTCTTCACAGTTATTTGCAAGAACAAGCTAATTATGCATATAATTGTATATAGGGAATACCTATCCACTGTATCTTTGCTTTCCATTTTTAAAGCTAATTATTTAAGACTTTTTTTAAATGTATAATGTACTAATCTGTCATAATTTATTTTTAAAACTGTAATATTTTCTTTTTATAGGGAATTGAAACCTGGTGAAGATGCTTTATGGAAATAATGCGTCAAATAAGAGTTGATCCCCCTACAGTTTGAATAAGTGATTGTTCCATAATGAAAATAGAATCTAGTATTACCTTTGTTCAGCATATGATTACTAAAAAAGTATGTAGCCCCAACTGTATAATGTCATTCAAACATACAATTTGAAGTAAGGGTAATAGTATTAAGAAGGTTGGTTCAGTGTGTTTCTGAGAAACTGTTTGTCTCTGTGAACTTGAATCTTTCAGTCATCTTCAGAGCATATAGTTACATCCAGTAAAGTATAGGATTGTAGTTGATAGGGATCAATACAATTATGTATATTTACTGCATAAATTTTTCTGGAATTTCTTCCTTGATAATTGATCTTCTTGGGTATCTAAATAAAAGTACCTTGAAATAGATTTAAAATACTTTTTTGTATAAAATATTGTTACTACCTTGGGGGGGGGGTTATATTTTATGGTGACTGTAATATCTAGTTCTTTAAAATATTTGGTTTCTGTTACTTATATATACCATACTAACTCGATACCTGTGCTTCGCTATGAAACTATGTGGTCAGGCTTAGTTTTTTGGGAAGAAAATAAGGGGGGGAAATTCCGCCTCTGCCTACCAGCACCCATCAGTATTCATCTGGCTAGCGTCCTGCCAGTGTGTGAGCTGAAGGCTGTTTGGAAACTGAAAGAGTATTTGCTGTGTGAGCAAGGGGACAGCAAGGAGCCTGGGCGTGGCTTAGCTCAACTGTTCTGTACTAAAGCTGCTTGGTGCTGTGAAACTAAAACTGAAACTCAAACTCCTCTGCTTGTGTTTTGCATTTGGAACAGATTTATTTTCAGGTGGGGAGGGGAAGTAGAACTCCTTAGCATCAGAGTGTGTTAATAATAATATACGAAATACTAATGGTCTGGTCATTTTGGAAAATCCTTTCTTACTGAGCACCTGGAAGCCAAGAGGAACATACGTGCCAAATTTCTAGTTTGTAGGCTTTATGGTTCTGGAGATTTTGTGGTGATGTGTGAGTGGTATTTCACTTTTATATATATAAATTGAATTGAATATGTGCTTATAGAAAACTTCAGCATGCTAGGCTTTGGCACATTATAAATCAAACCAATTGTAATTATGGAAAAAAAGCCTCAGCTAAACAAATCAGAGTTAAGTGTGGTTTTGGATGACATCTATTACTCCATTCATTGTCACAGTTGATTTGGCTGGCTAGGCAGATGTCCTTTTCTTCCATAAAATAGCCTGTTTGTTTTCCTCTAACCTGGTCTTTTAAAATCTTCCAAAGGTGCACTCATGGCACTATAACTGGGCACCATCACCACCCAACAAAAAGATTGTTTTGATCTTTAAATCTAGGGCTACATCTTAGCTGCCAAAGTTCTGGCGACCGTTAAACTGGACAGAGAATGACAGGAAACTACATTTGGTAGCCCTGCAACATCAAAACGAAAAACACTGTGACCAGTTGTTGATCATTCCAACAATCAACCAATGGAACTTCTTGCCTTCAGAAGCTGTGGGTGCTTCATCCCTGGAGACTTTCAAGAAGAGACCGGAGAGCCATTTGTCAGAAATGGTATAGGATCTCCTGCTTGAGCAGAGGGTTGGACTCAATGGCCTCCAAGGTCCCTTCCAACTCTCTTCACATTCTGTTATTATTCTGACCCAAGTCCCAGTCCTCATCAGAGAAGCTGTTGAGCGTGAACGGAAACATCCAAATGCCATCTTATTTGGCCTAGAGGACATCAATGATAATGATGACATCACAACTGTCCGAAACATCATCAGTGATTATCAAGCATCAACCATTTCCCCTGATGAAATACTTGACATTTCCCGCCTTGGCCGAGAGCTCAAAAACAGAGACGGCTCTGTGGCCCCACGCTTCTGCAGGGTCATTTGCAAAAATGAATCAAGCAAATGTAAATTCATTTACACTATAAATTCACTCACCAAAACCAACCATAAGAACCTCCGTTGTCGCCCTGACCTAACCATACAGCAATGTGCCTGCTCCTGTGTACTCCGCACTGAACTCAAAAAACGTCTAGACAATGGAGAGAAGGACCTGTACACTGACTACCATGCTGACTGTATCAAAAGTAAGTCACACAACCCGCAACTCAGCTTTAACCTTCAACCACAACCCTACCTCAACCAATCCACCATCACCCAAGACTAGGCACGCACGCCCCTAACTACCTCAATTCCAACTACTGCTGGCCTTAAATGCAAGCTACTCAATTCCAACTACTGCTGGCCTTAAATGCAAGCTACTCAATGCAAGAAGCCTTGCAAATAAAATACCTGAATTTCTCCTCTTACTAAATATAGCTAAATTCGACATCATATTTGTCTGTGAAACATGGCTCAACGCATCTCTCCCTGACTCCATTACCACAGTAAGAGACTATCATGTTTACCGATCAGATCGTGAAATTCATAGAGGAGATGGTGTTGCTATCTTCTATAAAAAGTCCTTACATCTAAAAAACATCCAAGTTACCCAGGAGCTTGCTCTTCCTGAGACCATCATCTGTGAACTATCCTTAAATATCACATTTCAATTCTTACTATGTTACAGAGCACCTGATTATGACATCAAACATGTAAACAAGCTAAATACACTACTAACATGGGCAGCATCCTGCCCACACGCTTTTATCTTTGTTGGTGACTTCAATCTACCTCATATTGACTGGACCCTAAATGAATGTACAACTGAACCCATACACGCAACCTTCTACAATGCTGTTACAAATCTGGGACTGGAACAACTGGTAACCAACAACACTAGACTAAACAACTGCCTCGATCTCATCTTCTGCAATAGTTTGAATTTAATTTACGGAATACAAACTAAAGAACCCTTTTCCAGCAGTGACCACAATATGATTGACTTTTGTCTCAACATACGCCCACACAAAAATCATCACAATGACGTAATCCCCAATTATAACTTCAAAAAAGGCAACTATGATCTTATAGACAATGATCTCTCATCCCTTGATTGGCAATCTCTATTCACTGGATGCAATACTGTTGAAGACCATTACAACATATTTTTACTTGAAGTAAAAAGAGTCATCAAACTATATGTACCAACAACAGCTCCCCAAACCAAAACAAAAACAGATTACCCATAACAATAAGGAAACTTCAATCCAAAAAGAGATCACTCTGGTGGAAAAACAAATCTGGTAACGTTGCCAATTTCAAAAGCCGATACAAAAATGTATGCCAACAGATAAAAACTGAATGCACCAATTATCACATTAAACAAGAGGAAAACCTAGGCACCAATTCCACCCGCACTTTTTACAATTTTGTGAACAACAAACTAAAAGACTCAAGGTCCATCCCACCCCTGATAGGACCTAATGGTAAAGACTGCAACGATGACACCATTAAAGCCATCTTTAACACATTCTTTGGCTCAGTATTTGTAAACAGCAATGGATCATGCCCAGTATTTCCTAGCCAAACCACAGACAACTACAATGATCTAATACATATTGATTTTACAGAAGACAATGTTGAAAAAGCACTACGCAATCTAAAACTATCTATTTATTGGACCGGATGGAATATGTGCCTACTTCTTAAAAAAGCTATCCACTGCCATAGCCGAACCTCTAAGCATAATCTTTGAAAAGTCTTTCAGGACCAGCTCCTTGCCTAACCTATGGTCACAAGCCACGGTCATCCCCATCTTCAAAAAGGGAGACCCCAGCCTAGTTGAAAATTACAGACCAATCTCTTTATGCTGCGTCACCTGTAAAGTCGTGGAATCAATTATTAACCAATCCATTATCCTCCACTTAGAGACAAACAGCCTACTCTCCAATAAACAATTTGGTTTCAGGAAAAAACTATCCTGTAATCTGCAACTCTTACACGGCAAAAACATATGGACTACACAACTCGATCAGGGCAAAGCAATAGACGCAATCTACATAGACTTCTGTAAAGCCTTTGATTCAGTGGTACACGACAAACTACTCCTAAAACTAAAATCTTATGGTATCTCTGGACAACTGCATAACTGGATAGAAGCATTCCTGTCAAACAGACAACAAATGGTCAAAATTGGGAGCGTCCTATCAAATTGTGTACCTGTCAACAGTGGTGTCCCCCAAGGCAGTGTTCTAGGACCAACTCTCTTCATACTCTACATAAATGACCTCTGTGATCATATTAAGAGCAACTGCATTCTTTTCGCTGATGATGTAAAGCTGTTCAATACCACAGGCAATACTGCTACCCTTCAAAAAGATCTTGAGTATGTATCAGAATGGTCAAAGAAACGGCAACTTCAAATCTCAACAAATAAATGCTCTGTCTTACATATTGGCAAAAAAAATCAGAAAATAAAATACAAGCTGAATAGTCAAGATCTTGTTGATGATCCAAGCTCTGTAAAGCAGGGGTCCCCAACCACCGGTACCAGTCCGTGGATCATTTTCTACTGGGCCGCCCGTTTGCTGGGCGCCGCCATCTTGTTTCGACAGAAAGTGCTTCCTGGTGAGCTTTTCCGGTTGGAAAGCGGCATTTGGGTCCTGAAGGAATCCTCGTGCCTTAGTTTCTTTGAAGAGGGGGGGGGGGCGGCTTCGAACGAAGAGCCGTCCCGATGGCGGCAGAGATAAAAAAAGCACAAAAAAGGTACAAAGGAGGAGTTGAAGGTGGCGGAGAGAAGCGGGGGACGGCTGGCTGGCCGGTCGCTCGGCTCGCCTTGCCTTGTCATGCGTACTGATGCCGGTACCGGGCCGCGGATCATTTTGTGATGCCGGTACCGGGCCGTGGCACAAAAAAGGTTGGGGGCCACTGCTGTAAAGGACCTTGGAATACTCATCTCTAATGATCTAAGTGCTAGAGCCCACTGTAACTACATAGCCAAAAAGGCATTAACCTAATCCTACGTAGCTTTTTCTCTGGTAATATCACACTACTAACTAGAGCATACAAAACATTTGTTAGACCAATACTCGAATACAGCTCATCAGTCTGGAACCCACATATCTGATATTAGCACAGTTGAGAAAGTCCAGAAATATTTAACAAGAAGAGTTCTCCACTCCTCTACTCGTTGTATAATACCTTATGCCAC